AAGATTACTCATTTCAATTACTCATCGGTCTCTTGTCTCACACCTGCTGAGGTGCTAGATAATATTGTAAAATGATGGCAAGATCTAAATTTACTCATAACTTTGGAGAAAAAGAGAGGAATTATATAGACTATGTCTTTCCCAGAGGCCCCAAAAAGGATATGATTAGGGTTACAGTTAGGTTTAGGGTTTGGTTAGGATTGACTCTCTATGGCAGACATGTCAAACAGAAGGCCCGGGGGCTGGATGCGGCCCGCGAAGTGGTTTTATGTGGCCCGCGAAGCCATCCTGGAAACAGTGAGGGAACGGCCCCCGCTACCTTGGTCGTGGCCCAGGCCAGCCGGGAGCCAATGTACAATTTTGTGGTGGCCATCTTGGCACTTGCCCCGGTGCCTTTGCACTTGCCCCAGTCCCACCTCCTTCTGCCAGAGACTCTCAGATCTGTCCCACTCCTGCCCAAGCCCCCATAGGCACCCTTGACATGAATGATGTAGAACTGGCCACGCCCACCCAGTAGGCCACGCCCACTCCATCCACCCCCACCCAGTAGGCTGCATCTACTCTGGCCACACCCACCTGCCCCCCCCAGGGCAGCTGCAATGCTGATGCGGCCCTCAGTGAAATTGAGTTTGACACCTCTGCTCTATGGTCATTATAAGTTAGGTGGCTTATAAATATGATTTATAAAAAAACACTCTTCTCCATTAGCACTGGACACAAATATATCAGTCAGGGAAGATTCAAATATTTTAGATTTCTAAGGGCTCTTCAACAGAATAGCACTAAAACGCTGTTATCCAGGGTAGAAGCAGACCTAAATGTATGCAAGCTAAATTAATCCCTCACCACATTTCAGGTCCCTATTCTGCATTAAAGTAGGGATTTTGAGAGAAAAGCATAGAGGAGAACACTTCCTTTAGTGCCAGTTACTAGCAGTAGAATCTGGGATCCCACAGCATGATGCTGAGAATCTTCTACTGCTAGTAACTGGACCGGCATCAAAGGAAGTGTTCTCTCTGCTTTTCTCTCAAAATCTCTACTTCAATTCAGAATAGGGACCTGAAAAGTGGTGAGGAATTATTTCAGCTTGCATACATTTATGTCCACTTCTGCCTTGAGTAATAGCATTGTAGCTGTATTCTGTTGAAGAGCCCTTAAGAAATGTAAAATATTTGAAACTGCCCCTACTGATACATTTATGTCTAGTGCTGATGGAGAAGAGTGTGTTTTTTTTATAAATCATATTTATAAGCCACCTAACTCATAATGACCTTGGAGAATCTCATTACAAGAACTTTTAAACAGAACTTTTGAAGTTTTAGGATTTCATATGGGAAGGTTAAGTGTTCTATTAAAGCACAGAAAGTATTGTTTCCCGTTCTTTTCTTGCTGTAACATGAGTTGTTTGTTTTTGAAGTAGGCAATTACAAGAATAATTATCTAGAGAAATGTCAGTTGGTTTCCCAGTCTTTTTTTCTTTTATCACATGATACTATTTAGTGCTTTTATATGTCCGGATTAAATGGTTCTCAGTACTGTAAGCACCCAGACAGGATAAAAGTAACCAGTATATAGCCTGTAATAAATGAATAAAAAATGAAGATAGGTTGAAAATGAAGGTTTTAAATGCTGTTTGCTCCACTCAGCAAGTATGACTTGTTTTTACATTTTTACTGGTTTCTATGACATCCACATATTTAAACAAAATAGCTTATTACAGGTAGTCCTCCACTTATGACCATAATTGAGCCTAAAATTTATGTCGCTAAGGGAAACATTTAAGTGAGTTTTGATCCATTTTACTACTTTTCTTGCCATGGCTGTTAAGTGAATTACTGTAGTTCTTAAGTTAGCAACATAGTTGTTAAGTGAATCTGGCTTCCCCATTGACTGCTTGTCAGAAGGTCACAAAAGGTGATAACCCCAGGACACTACAATGCCATAAATATGACTCAGTTACCAAGCATCTGAGTTTTGATCACATGACCATAGGGATGCTGCAACGGTTGTAAGTGTGAAAAATACTCAAAAGGCACTTTTTTCAGTACTGCTATAACTTCAAATGGTCATTAAATGAATTGTTGTAAGTTGAGGACTACTTGTATTTTGCTCGTAGATGACTGAGCAGTGGGGAGCAGCGTAGTGTTTAGAACTGATTTTGATTTATAAACTTAGGTTATTTCCCATCCCACCATAAAATTATTGGTTTTGTCAGCCTTCTCACATCTCAGTTTTCTGATGGGTTATAGGTGGTCTCACAATATAAATATTAAACAAGTATTTTGCAACAGGAGTGGGCTTGTATTACACTATATATTTATTTGATTATTTGCATGCACATCATATTTGATACACATGTTTAAATCATGGGTACTTAAGAAAAATGAGATACCCCCCAAAAGGTCACAATCAAAAGACTGAAAAATAACAATTTCTTTCAGAAAAATTAAGGCAAGTTCAGAAGACGTATCAGGATTTGGAGTGAATTACTAATTCGGGGGACTAAAATAAAATTCTAATAATATAGATATGAGATTTCAGTACTATAGCATGACCTAGGGCAGTGATGGCGAACCTTTTAGAGATCGGGTGCCCAAAAACCACCACCCTGCCTCAGTTCCGCCTCCCGCCCTGCCTGCTCCTCCCCCACCCACCCTGTGTCCCACCCACTTGCAGGGCCACCCACTGCCTCCATGGCCTGCTGCAGCAGATAGCCAGACAGCCCTGCAGCACCATGGCAGCCATGCCCTCTGCCCACACCCCGCAGCATCATCTGCACGCTATGGGGTGCGAGGGCGGAGTCGTCTCTGTTGCCCAGGGGTGACTCTCCTCCAGGGGGCTGCTGGTGAGGAAGGGGCCATGGGGGGAGGCGGGGCTGGGGCAACAGCGTGCGTGCCCACAGAGAGGGCTCTGAGTGCCACCTCTGGCACCCATGCCATAGGGTCACCACCACTGACCTAGGGAAAATAATGTTTATGTTTGAGAAAAGGGAATCTTATGTAATGAGATGAATATGCTGGTTTTGTAGAAGCCACCCAACTATATGTGGAGCCATAATCAGAGTGTCAAACCAAGTGATTCAATCTTGGGAGTGTTTTCTGCTCAAGCAGTTTTGAAATAAGGGGGTGCTGGGCCAGGGCACTAATTATTTTCATGAACTCTTTGAGAGGATGTCCATGGAGATTCTCAGTCATCCAGGTCATGGTTCTTTCAAAGGTGCTTTTCAAAAGGCAACTGGGCTTTCTTGGTTTTTGTCAGGGAAATTGCACAGCAGATGTACAAATGAAGCCAGAGATACTGACACGAGCTTGTAGTTTTATATAAATAAATATATTTCACATCTCCATTTACAGCAAATAAACAGGAGGTAAACAGGAGCATCATGAGATGAATCACAGAGCACACAGAAGAAAAAGGTGGTGGTGGGGGGGAAAACTCCCCCTCCACACCCACAGCAACCAATCACAAAGTAGGTTGCCTCACACAAGAGCCAGCACTCTCCAACCAATCAACTACAACTGTATGTTCTGGCTCATTGTACAACCCCACAGATCCAGCTACTAAATTTAAATATCTTAACAGTCCCCCCCACTTTTTTTTTTCTTCCTTGAGAGGTTGTCACTATTATGAAAATAATTTAGGGATTAGCTGAATCTAATAATGCAGTATCTAACAATCAGAAGTTACAGTGCTTCTGGGCAGGAAGATAATATTTTGACAAATAGAATATATAATTATTGAATTGACACAAGCAGGCAGCTGTCACCAGCAGACAGGTGGTTGATGATGAATTATGACTGAAAAGTCAAGGAAACAGACATGGTCCTGGCAGTGTTACAGAGGTTTTCAGTGTCTTATTTTTCTAGCATTTTAATTGGGTTGGTTTAACCTGTGCTGTATATTTGCTGCTTGTCTTGTTATTTTCTTAACATGCACTTTTCTTGTTTTGTGTTGTTTTTTTCTCATTACTCTGGGATGATTTGCATCGCATTCTTGTAGGCTCCCATTCTCCCTGAAGAAATTAAAGGCAGCTTAAAAATGGTTGTACATAACAAATGATAAATAACATTTATTGTCAAGGCCACTTGCACCTCAGCTCCCCTCATTCAAAACGAAGCTTATAGCAGGGTGATTAGTTTGTTTTGAAGCAGTTTGGCTCAGCTTGAAGCAATTACCCATGCACATTGTATGTATGAAAGAAGGAGGTCTGGCCTTTGAAATCTTGTACAGATGAGCCAAAAAGAAAATGATCAAACACCAGTAGCAACACCACCAAACCTGAATGCTAATGCTGTGGTACTGTACTTTCTCTTGTGTGCTGAATTAAGTCTTGGCAGCTTTCTGCAAGCAGATGTTAACAGAGCTGTGGTCCATAGGAATAAAAGACTCTCAGAAAAGGTTTTGGCAATTGCACAAGAGTGCGCTTATTCTGTGTGAAGGCATATGTGTGCATTTGGAACATCTTATATACTTGTACTCTATTAGGCAGAAATAGATCACTCCTGGGATCTCAGTTAATTAAGTACCATCAAATTGGGTTCACTTCTGGCCATCACATTTGTCTGAAGTGATCATCCATAGCTCAGTGATCTGTTTGATCTTATCCGGTCACTATTTTTTCTTCTCTTTCTACCTATCTAGCTACTACCTGCCTACCTGCCTATTTATTTATGACAGTTGCAATGTCCTGGAATCATCTGGGATTCCCTTTTGCGACCTTCTGACAAGCAAAGTCAATGGGGAAGCCAGATTCTCTTAACAGCCATTTTACTAACTTAACAGCTGCAGTGACTCACTTAACAACTGTGGCAAGAAAGGCTGTAAAATGGGGCAAAATTCATTTTACAACTGTCTTGCTTAGCCACGGAAATGTTGGGCTCAATTATGGCCGTAAGTCGAGGATTACCTGTATAGTAGTTTAAAACAAAAGGCTAGGCCAGAGATTAAGTAGGAAGTTAATTTCTTCGGAATTCGTACTGTTTGTATCTTGTAAGCGTCTGCATTATGGCCAAGCATTGAACTTATCCCTGATAAGAAATCTGAACCCTCTCAGCCTGAGCAGCTTATAGTTTGATTAGAGCATTTTATTTTATTTTTTTCTTTCCTTCTTCTTAACTGTATCTTCAGATGAGTAACAAGAGATCCAACAGCTTCCGCCAAGCCATTTTGCAAGGGAACAGGAGGCTATGCAGCAAGGCCCTCCTGGAGGAGACGGGACTCAGCCTTTCTCAGCGGTTGATTCGGCACGTGGCGTATGAGACGTTACCCCGCGAGATAGACCGGAAATGGTACTATGACAGCTACACCTGCTGTCCTCCACCTTGGTTCATGATTGCCATCACAATTGTAGAGGCAAGTATCTTCAGGCATGGAATGATGTGGGTGGGGTTTGCCTAGTACTCTATTGTATTCTCCTTGGCCTGAAAATGGTTCAGCTTGCAAGTTTGGTGTCAGCTAATCCCAATATAATTTAGACCAGGGTTGTCCAAGCTTGGCAACTTTAAGACTTGTGGACTTCAACTCCCATGTCTGGCTGGGGAATTCTGGGAGTTGAAGTCCAAAGGTCTTAAAGTTGCCAAGCTTGGACACCCCTGATTCAGATCCCAATATTTGCATACATAATTTAAACCCTAATATTAGCACAGATAAAGAAATAGTCTAAAATTTTCTCTGAAATATGGTTTGGAAAGACAATCAGTTACCGGTACGGACTGGAAGCAGATAACATTTTAAATGGATTCTTCGGTATTTGCTGTGGCAACAGCGTTTTCCCAAGTAGTTTATTTATTGTTTTCATTCCTTAGAAAGTTTTAATGAAGGTATTGGGAACCTGTGGCTTTCTAAAACTTGTCAGACTCCAACTTCTGTAAGTAGTGGCCAGTTGTCCTGGCCGATAGTTGAAGATAATGGGATTTATATACAGCAGCTGCAAATTCCCCACTTTTACCTAAGAACAGCACCCATACGGAATGTCTCTTGCCTGGCAGAACCACTTTTGTAGAATTACCTCTTCAAGGAAGCCCATTGAGATTGTGCCAGTTTTGAAGCAGCCAATATTCACCTGGAAAGAAGTAGGCATTAGAGAAAATGTGAGTTAGTGCCATTGTGTGTCTGGCATCAACATGTCTAGCACACCTTCAGTTTTGATAACTACCATGTTTGTGAAAGGAAGCGTTCCCCCAAAGGTTTCCCCCGCAACTTGGGAACTGGGGGAGTTGGCTGACACTCACCAAGAAGAATAGAAAATGCTGCTGGAACAGTGAAGGACAAACGGCCATAGGCACTGCTGTTGGACTGTGTTTGTCAAATCAAGCAACCAGGAACAGGAGTTGAGTTCAAAGCACTTGTTGAGTTGAGTTCATTACATGTTACCCATACAAAAGAATCTGATCTACTAATGATCCAGGCAAATCGGCGTTAGTTAAAAGTCAACAGCATGCATGGAGGGCTGGACTTAGGTCTCTTGCGGGAGCACAGCGATTCCAAACTGATGATCTGCTTGAACCCACCCTCAGGTTCATCTCCTGGTCATCTCCTACAGCAGCGGTCACCAACCTTCCTGGCTCTGAGGACTGGAGGTGGTGGCAGCGGTGGGGTGGGAGAGGGGATGGTTTTGCATGCATGCATGCACGACACCTATCCAAATGCAGCTTCATGCACTTGTGCACTCGCCCACTTTTTGCACAGTCCGGTTCCCAAGAGGCTGCAGCCCAGCTCCGGGCCATGGAGCGAAGGTCGGAGACCTCTGCCCTACAGTGTTGATGCCTTTGAAAACCAGCTGTTGCTTGAGGGAGGGGTGCTGGCTGGCAGAATTTAACTGTTTTCATACTGCATAAAGGAGGTTTTCTCTTTTTGCTGTCCTCTCCTAGTTATCCTTGCCTCTTCTCCAAGCAGCTTTGTTCTCCCCTTTGCCTTGTCTTCTCGTCTTGCCCTGCATCCATCTTCTTTCCTCTTCCTCCACTTCTTCCTCTGCTCTTTCTGCTGAAAGCAGGGAAGGGAGGGGAAGGGCACGTCTGTGTGCATGCTTGTGTTTCTCTTGTGAAAGCAGTTTGCATGTGTGAGAAAGAACAGATGGTACATAGGATTACAATTAATTAGTGATATAAATAAGATAGCTAATTTACAGGAGATCAGTGGTGATTATTTTAATGTTAATTTTGTCCTGCTTTGGCCTTGCTTTTTTTGGTATTGCTTCAGAAAGAGATATGTATGTGTGTGGTTCACGTATGCATGAGTACATCATATGCATGTTACAGAGGGAGGAATTCCCCCAGGTTGGTTTAGAACAGTGGTTCTCAATCTTTTCTTTATCACAGACCTCCTTTAAATACCTTATATGGCCACAGACCCTGGCCATGGACCCCCAAGATTTAACTCAAGAGACTCTAGAAAGAGTACAGAGAAGAGCAACAAAGATGATTAAGGGACTGGAGGCTAAAACATATAAGGAACGGTTGCTGGAATTGGGTATGTCTAGTTTAACGAAGAGAAGGACGAAGGGGGACATGATAGCAGTGTTCCAATATCTCAGGGGCTGACACAAAGAAGAGGGAGTCAAGCTATTTTCCAAGGTGCCTGAAGGCAGGATAAGGAGCAACAGGTGGAAACTAATCAAGGAGAGAAGCAACCTAGAACTAAAGAGAAACTTCCTGATAGTTAGAACAATTAACCAGTGGAACAACCTGCCTCCAGAAGCGGTGAATGCTTCAACACTGGAAGATTTTAAGAAGAGACTGGACAGCCATTTGTCTGAAATGGTATAGGGTTTCCTGCCTGAGCAGGGGGTTGGACTAGATGACCTCCAAGATCCCTTCCAACTACTACTACTACTACCTCTTCTTCTTCTTCTTCTTCTTCTTCTTCTTCTTCTTCTTCTTCTTCTTCTTCTTCTTCTTCTTCTTCTTCTTCTTCTTCTTCTTCTTCTTCTTCTTCTTCTTCTTCTCCTCCTCCTCATTATTATTATTATTATTATTATTTAAATCATAACACTTCTTCAAGTTTTTGCTTTGCCTTTGAGACATTGTGGCCCCCCAGGAGTCTGCAGACCACAGGTTGAGAACCATTGGTTGAGAAGATAGCATAAATCTTAGTTTGAGAAGAGGGGGAGTTAGGAATTGCATAGGATTTGGGGTGTGTGTGTGTGTGTGTGTTTCCCTGTCTACTCTCTTTGGGAGGTTGTCTTCAATTCAGAGTAAACTTAAGTAACTGAGATTTAACTACGATGTTAATATGAGGTAGGATGGAAACAAACACCAATGAAAATGTAGGGCTCAGTATTAAGGTATCTCTAATGCTACCTGGCAGATCAAATTTCAGGTGGTGCTGAGATCTTCTGTTCTGCAACTGTTCATTTGGGGTTAGGATGTTCTTCAAGGTTTTTTGTTTTTTTAAAAAAGAAATTTCTACCATGCTGTTTACCTGACAGTGGGAGAAGTCATGTTAGCAGATTTTGAGGGATAGGCAGTTCTACCTCTCTGTTCTTCTATGGTAGTAATCCCAGAATGGCAGTAGACTTCTACATGACTATATGATATTTATATCAAGGACATCCAGTCCAAGAAGTTTTAAATTGGGAAACCTGGACAGTAGGATTCACCTGCTGTTGGATAAATTACTGCCTCTGAAGGACCATGTCATTTTGGAGAATCAATTCAATGACTGAATGGATGTCAAGTTCAAGATGTGGTCTATTCTAGGGAAATGGAAATTACGTAGAGCAGGAGTAAACCTTTGGCCTTTTAATTTCTTGTTCGGTCCTTTGCTGTCTCAAATAAAGCTTTATTTAAAGTTCAGCATAATGCTGAAATATATCTTCAGGCATTTCTCAATGGTTCTAATTACTTCACATTGAGCAATTAAACAAATGGGATTGCAGTAGAAAGGATGACCATACATTTTAAAAGGGGGCGAGGGGGCAGATGTTCTAGCGCTATGCTCGTAGGAGGTTGGTATAGCAGACCTTTGAGTCTTTCATGTGTTTGTGCAATGGGTCAGTTTAACATACAGGTAGTCCTCGGCTTACAACAGTTCATTTAGTGGCTGTTCAAAGTTATAATAGCACCGAAAAAAGTGACTTATGACTATTTTTTCCACACTTATGACCGTTGCAGCATCCCCACGGTCATGTGATTTACATTTGGATGCCTGGCAACTGGTTCATATTTATGATGGCCGCAGTGTCTCATGGGGTCATGTGATCCCCTATTGGGACCTTCTGACAAGCAAAGTCAATGGGGAAGGCAGGTTCACTTAAGAGCTATGTTACTACTTTAACAACTGCAGTGATTCATTTAATAATTGTAGCCAGAAAGGTCGCAAAATGGGGCAAAAGTCACTTAACAAATTTCTCACTTAGCAATATAAATTCTGGGCTCAATTGTGGTCATAAATAGGGGACTACCTGTCTATGCATATATACTTGTGTAGTTTTTACAGTTGCATCACACACTGATTTAGTTGACAATATGTTTTGTTTCACGGCCAGATAACATAGAAAATATGTGTTGATCCAGTGGAAATGAAATGTCATTGAATCCTCCTGGAATGGATTTAGCTGAAGAAAATATGTTTCATGGCTTTCTTTGGATCTGCTGGCCTTTCTTGCGTTTGGCAACAGTACAAGAAGAGCTTAAATCCAGACAGATTGTATTTGTGTGGGGGGTTACTTCAGAGAAGAGAAATTCTGGCCAATTACGTATTGTGCCACTGCAGGGATTTATGTATGCCCGTTTAATCCTCCTTTTACATTGCCTGGATTCATATATTGTCCTAAACTATTATGTAATCTACTTGGCTTTGGCTTAGCCTGATGTGAGAAGCAGCCATAGCAATATAATCAAGGCTTATGGAAGTCACATATTGTAGTTTCTGGAAGTTCCCAGTGGTTGCTATTTCATATTCAACAACAAGGTAAATCAAAATGTTTCATTATGAGTGCGGTATTTAACATGGTGCTATTCGTGTATTCATTATTCAGGTATTTTGATCGAGCTTGTGCATACAAAACTTAAATATGTGGTTCTTGAGGAGGAGTTGACAGATAGGTTGGCCTGAAGAGGAGGGATTAGGTAATATTAGAAATCTAATACCTCCTCCACATTTAAAGCAAATAAGTAACCAGGAAAGTCCAAACCAACCTCTAGTTAGATGTACTTTTATTGAACTGAGGTGTTTATATTTCCTAAAACCGATTTTTTTTTTCTTAGTGCTGTTCAGGCCTTTGGATTCAAGAGTGCAAAGATACCTCAGAATATTTCTGAGACAATCTGCAACTCCTTAAATTACATGTGCCTTTTCCCAGGATGACAGTGCAACTCCACAATTCCACAATGTCACAGTGATCACAATGTAGTCACACCATTTCGGGGAAAAGTGCAGCTCTTTAAGGACTTGTCCAAAGGTGTCGTGTGAGCACCCCCTCACACTCTGAAGCACCTTTCTTCCCTCCAAGTAAAAGGTCTATTTTTTCCCCCAGATATGCAAATGGAATTTGGTTAATTGTGGGCTTTCCCTGCTCTCCTAGGTTGCCTTCTTCCTTTACAATGGAGTGGTCCTGGATAGGTTTGTGCTGCAAGTCACCCATCCCTTCTATCTGAAGAATTCATTATTATATCATCCTCAACTCCGTGCCCAAGCCTGGAGGTACCTCACCTACATCTTCATGCATGCAGGGTGAGTGCTGCGGAAATGTTGATGACTCCGTTGTTACACGGTATTAAGGGAAGAGGGCAAGGGAGACCTTGCAGATGGCATTCATGGTCAGCCCTCGGGGTCCAGTATCATGGCATAGCCCCGTGGTGGCGAACCTATGGCACGCGTGCCACAGGTGGCATGCAGAGCCCTCTCTGTGGGCACATGCACTGTCACCCCAGTGCTAGGCCTTCAGCTGGGTTTTATAAAACCTTTTCGCTTTAGGACTCTTCTGCCAGGTACAAAAAAAAGGGTTCAATTAATCAATCAATTTCAACTTCTTGCGGGGAAAAAAAGATCTCGCAAAGTTGGAATTGATTGATTGAACTTTTTAGTCCCACCCAATCTGACGTTACCACTGCAGCCACGCCCACCCAATGGGCCATGCCCACACAATTGGCCACACCCACCCAATGGGCCACACCTGCCTGGCACCTAATGATACATAAGTGGGTTTTGGGTTGCAGTTTGGGCACTCGGTCTCTAAAAGGTTCGCTATCACTGGCATAGCCCAATGTTCCCCGCATCTTTAAAATTAGTTTTCCAACTGGGCAGCTACCTGCCATTTTAATTTTCTGTCATAATTCCTATGATTGCAAAATCTGGGTTTATTCCACACAAATTTCTGGATTTTCATATAACTGAACCAGATAGGCTGGGTTCCTCTAACATGGTAGGATAAAAAGCAATTGGCTAGTTGTAGTTCAATGTACTGGTAGTCCTTCACTTACAACCATTTGTTTAGTGACTATTCAAAGATACAACTGAAAAAAAGTGAGTTATGATCGTTTTTCACACTTATGACCATTGCAGCATTTGGACGCTTGGCAACTGACGGTTGCCGTGTCCCAGGATCATGTGATCACCTTTTAGAACCTTCTGACAAGCAAAGTCAGTGCGGAAGCCAGATTCATTTAACAACTGGGTTATTTAACTTAACATCTGCAGTAATTCACTTGACACGTGTGACAAAAAAGGTCATAAAATGAGTCAGGGGTTACCTGTATTTCTTTGCTCTTTCTGTTCCTCATCTGACATCATCTATTTGAGTTGCATCCCACTGCCTTTTCTGAAAAGCATGGGGCTTTTCCCCCCTCTTTGTGTACAACTCTATATTTCTTGGTAAGATCTTAAGAACAAATTAGCTTTCCGGAGAAATTAGTGGAATGGCTTGATAATTTCTACATTTTCTTGCATCTCTCTTCTTTGGTGTTGTTGTCTGTACCAAACTTTTTCACCACCATCTGTTCCATATTTGTGTAAACAAAGCTATTAGTCCTTTAAACACCTCTTCTCTGTGGTTCAGTGGGCATTTCATCTGTGTTTGGTGCTTCCCTGTTTCACAATGGTGTATTGTCTGTCTGGCTCAGTTTTTTTTAATGGGGTCCGTTTCTGAATAAAGTTATACTGTCGCCTCCAGATCTACTTGTGGAAGGCTTCTCAGCTGGTGGATCTCATCATCTATCACTCACGTTCATCAAAATTGTTAGAATCATGTCCATACAATTTTCTAGGCAATAATACAAATGTAATTTGCTGTTGCCTTTTTCAATTTGATCCTGGAGTGTCTTCTTCTAGGTATAGATAGTTCTCAACTCACAACTCATTTATTGACCGTTTGACATTACAACAGCACTGAAAAAAGGGAGTCATGATCATTTTTCATACAACCGTTGCAGCATCTCCATAGTCATATAATCAAAATTCAGACACTTGGCAACTTGTTTGTATTTAGGACGGTTTCCGTGTCCTGGGGTCACGTGATCCCCTTTTGTGACAAGCAAAGTCAATGGGGAAGCCAGATTCTCTTAACAACCATGTTACTAACTTAACTGTGGTGATTCACTTAACAACTGTGGTAAGAAAGGTCATAAAATGGGGCAAAACTCACTTAACAACTGTCTCACTCAGCAACAGAAATTTTGAGCTCAATTGTGGTTGTGAGTCAAAAACTGCCTGCAGTTTGCTTCCATCTCCTAAGGCTGCACTTCCCAAACCTTGTTCTTCGTTATCCAAAATGACTAATCAGAAAGTCCTTTTTACCCAATGTAGATAAAGAACTCTAAGTCGATTTAAATATCTTTGTTTATGTTCGGGTAATGTATTTGCATTTCATTGTCCTAAGAAAAGCTACTTCTACAGTACTCAGTTTTGGATAATTTACCCACGTTTGGAAAGTGCGGCTTTAGGGGACAGTGCTTAGCTGTCTCTCTCCCATTTCAAAATAATAATAATAATAGTAATAGTAATAATAGTATATCAGGAAGGCTTACTGACTACTGGAGAGACCAAACTGGTCTACAAGAAAGACCAAATAAAGAACAGAATAGAGGCATGAGAAGACAAAGCACTACATGGCCAATACATTAAAAAAATAGCTGGGAAAGCAGATAATAACAAGACCTGGCAATGGCTAAGAGCAGGAAAATTGAAGAAAGAGACCGAGGGACTAATTCTGGCTGCACAAGACCAAGCCTTAAGGACAAATGTATATAAAGTCAAAATTGAGAAGACAGCAACAGACAGCAAGTGCCGTCTATGTAAAGAAGCTGAAGAAACAGTGGACCACCTGGTAAGCTGTTGCAAGAAGATTGCATAGAGTGACTACAAGCAGCGGCATGACAAAGTAGCAACAATGGTGCATTGGAAGATCTGCAAAAAATATCATTTGCCTGTAAGCAAAAACTGGTGGGATCATAAAATAGAGAAAGTCATAGAAAATGATAAAATTAAACTGCTCTGGGACTTCAGAATTCAAACAGACAAGCACCTGCAACATAACACCCCAGACTTAACAATTGTCGATAAGAAAGACAAAAAAGTCTGGATAGTGGACGTGGCAGTGCCTGGAGACAGCAGAATAGACGAGAAAGAACTGGAGAAGATAACAAAATACAAAGAGCTACAAATAGAAATAGAAAGACTGTGGCAAAAGCAAGCAAGGGTAGTACCAATAGTAATAGGCTCCTTGGGTGCAATCCCAAAACAACTGGAGCACCACTTGAACACCATTGGCATTGACAAATTTGCTATTAGTCAATTGCAAAAGGCAGCCTTACTAGGAACTGCTTCCATCCTGTGACGATACCTGTAATACCATCAAACATCCACATCTGCCTATCCCAGGTCCTGGGTAAGGACTCGATAGGTAGACAAAATGCCAAATCCAGTCTGAACATCTGGCTGACTGTGCGATGATCCATAATAATAATAATAATAATAATAATAATAATAATAATAATAATAATAATAAACAAATTCGCTATTAGTCAATGGCAAAAGGAAGCCTTACTAGGAACTGCTTCCATCCTGCAATGATATCTGTAATACCGTCAAACATCCACATCTGCCTATCCCAGGTCCTGGGTAAGGACTCGATAGGTAGACAAAATGCCAAATCCAGTCTGAACATCTGGCTGACTGTGCGATGATCAATAATAATAATAATAATAATAATAATAATAGAGCACCACTTGAACACCATTGGCATTGACAAATTCGCTATTAGTCAATTGCAAAAGGCGGCCTTACTAGGAACTGCTTCCATCCTGCGACGATATCTGTAATACCATCAAACATCCACATCTGCCTATCCCAGATCCTGGGTAAGGACTCGATAGGTGGACAAAATGCCAAATCCAGTCTGAACATCTAGCTGACTGTGCGATGATCCATAATAATAATAGTAATAAAAAAACTTGGAAGGGACCTTGGAGTCATCTAGTCCAACCCCCTGCTCAGGCAGGTAACCTTATACCATTTCAGACAAATAGCTGTCCAGTCTCTTCTTAAAAACTTCCAATGTTGGAGCATCATCAATGGGGATTCCTAGGGAGCAGCTCATGGATTCACTGAGTTATGTCTGGCAAGAAAACAAAACATTAACACCGTGTCAGCTCTTCCAATAACCTAAGATCCCCGACTATAATGCAACCCTGAAAATACTGGCAGGTTTTACTTGATAGCCACTTCAGAATCAAGTAGGGAGCTTCTCTAACTGGGACCACCAAATCTAACCGGAACATTTTGGTCCTTCTGCCAATAAATAACCTGTCCTGTCGGATTTGCAGAAAACATTTAACTTGTACACGCTTTCTAATGAGAGTTTTTTTTGTTGTCGTTTAACCTGAGATGGTATTTGCCAGTCCTCCTTCTGATGGCAATAGGAAAAATTACAGAGTAGTCCTCGACTTGTGGCAATCAAACCCAAAATTTCTGTTGCTAAGTGAGACGCTTGTTAAGTGAATTTTGCCCCATTTTATGATCTTACTTGCCAGAGTTGTTAAGTGAATCACTGCAGTTGTTGAGTTAGTCACAGACCTGTTAAGTGGACCTGTCTTCCCTATTGACTTTGTTTGTCAGAAGGTTGCAAAAGGGGATCATATGACTCCAGGACACTGCAATCGTCATAAATATGAACTAGATCACGTGAAGTATTAATACCACTTTACAATGCCGTGGTAAGGCCACACTTGGAATACTGCATCCAGTTTTGGTCACCACGATGTAAAAAAGATGTTGAGACTCTAGAAAGAGTACAGAGAAGAGCAACAAAGATGATTAGGGGCCTGGAGGCTAAAGCATATAAGGAATGGTTGCTGGAATTGGGTATGTCTAGTTTAATGAAGAGAAGGACGAGGGGGGGACATGATAGTAGTGTTCCAATATCTCAAGGGCTGCCACAAAGAAGGCAGGACAAGAAGCAACAAGTGGAAACTAAGCAAGGAGAGAAGCAACCTAGAACTAAGGAGAAACTTCCTGACAGTTAGAACAATTAACCAGTGGAACAACCTGCCTCCAGAAGCATTGAATGCTCCAACACTGGAAGTTTTTAAGAAGAGACTGGACAGCCATTTGTCCGAAATGGTATAGGGTTTGCTGCCTGAGCAGGAGGTTGGACTAGATGACCTCCAAGGTCCCTTCCAACTTTATTATTATTATTATAGTTGCCAAGTGTCTGAATTTTGATCACACGATCATAGAGATGCTACAATGGTTGTTAGTTTGAAAAATGATCATAAGTCCCTTTTTTCAGTGCTGTTGTAACTTCAGTCATTAAATGAACTTTTGTAAGTTGTAAACTACACACACTAAAAGTTTTCATGCACTTGCTTTACCCTATCATTTTTTTCTGAGCCTCCTGCCCTCCAATTTCTAGCTGGGCACTACAGGAACTTAACCTCAACACAGAGTATCTGAAGAAAATCAGGCACTCTACATTCTCTGGGATTTCTTTGAATGAAAGGCATTGACTTACTTTAAATACGGCCAGCTGCCCTGCAACTTTGAAAGATTTCAAAGCACTTTAGTCATATTGCAGAACATTTTTCTTAGTCCCCAAAAGCTAACCCTTTGCCTTGACAATTATCTTGTTGCCACTAGGCTGCTGTGTGGCTTGAAAAATGTGCTGAATCTTTTAATTATCCTGAGGTTTTTTTTTTCCCACACCCTTGGCTGATTTCCAGGGAAATCTCTAGGAAGATCAAGTATCCAAAGTCTGCCGTCTGTACATATTAGAGACTTAACTGGCATTGGATGATTACATTTTTGTGGCAGATTCTAAACCGTTTGGAAGTGCAAGCTTCCCAACCACACACACACATTCTCCACTTGAGAAGCAATGGGTGTTAGGGATAGTTGTTTTAAAGAAAACTCTGTAATATTTAAAATGCTCAGCAATCACTTCCAGCCAAGTTGCCTGCATTAGATTATTTCTCCTGCTGGAGAACAAAATAAATCTCAAAGAAAGTCATATGGTGTTTGTGCTTTTTAATGGTGAGGCCCTTATTCTGTTCCCCCCTTCCGCTAAAGGGCAAACTGATACAAAGGTGGTGAAATCTATTATTGCCCTACTTCCTGCTGTGACTTTAAAATGTTAATGCGGATCTCTTAATTTATTATGCTTTTTTGGGGGGGAAGCACGTCAGCTAGAAGGTACCCTGGGAGAAGGGAGTCATTGGGGGGGGGGACTGATTGTGCTTACTCAGAGTATTCCCAAATGTATGTGCTGCTCATGTTCCAGTCCTGATGGGGAAAAGCTTTCTAAGACCCCACAGTTGTAAATTTTAGCTTTCCACTTTAAGGTGGAGTGTCTGTTAATGATCTGCGAGGCCCCACCCATTTTTATTCCTGCCATAACTAATGAGTTGCATTGATTCAAGGGCCCTGCTTGCTCGGTCCCAGAGAAGGTGAAGCCTGGATAAATCAATTATATTGTCATCCAAAGAATGACACATTCAGAGCATGTGAAAGCTAATTACGTTTTATGGGCCCTGATTGACTATGGGACTCTGATGTGCTTGGCTGATGCAGGAGCAATTTAGCTGAATGGAAGCCTCATTTTTAAAGGACCAGCCAAACAGCGGGCCTGCAGAAACATCAGCAGAAATAAATCATGGCACCTCAAGAGACATTATTTAAAAGACAGTTAAATTCATTGTTACGATAAAACCACAAAGCTTCCCGTGACGTTTCTTGTTATTAGCCTGCATTGAGCTGTGATTCAGTGTAAGGAAAAGGTAGATTTTTAAAATCTTGTTTCAAACTTTTGCCCTCATTTTCACTCTAAACAACATAGTTTGGTTAAATGTTATGATTGGCGATTATTGTATAAGGATGCACATACAGAGAGTTTGCAATCCACCCTGCTTCAACTTTAACAATTATGATAATCAGCAGGATTTTAAAAAAACAAAACAAAACAAAAACCCACTCTACAAGAAAATCTGGGCCTAACATCAAATGGTAAATCTTGAACAACTGAACTGTTCGGTATTCTTGGATACATACCATCTGGCTCAGGAGATTGGCAATTTTTTAATTAGTTCATTTATCGCCTTTATTTGTGTTATTCGAGCAGAATGGTTGATGCATCCAACAGGGGGGGGAGAGGGATAAAGTCTGGATGAAAAGAATTAAATCTTTTTGCAGTATCCATCTCTTATTTTAATGTTCTTGTTAAATAATGAAGTAGCTGTTTCATTTTGCACTAGTTGCTTAAAATCCTGTGCATTTTACTGACCACATTATACACTACGCAGTGTTCAAATCTTGTGGGGTTTTTACTTCTGGAGTTTAGAAAAAAAAAAATTACAGCTGTGCATGTGCAAAATCTCTTAACAGAGTGACTTTAAGTGTTGACATTGATTGTTCAAGATGCTCAAAAAAACAAAAGCAAATCCTTCTTTGACAAATACATTTTTCCGATACAGAGTTTTAAAATACAGTCTCCAATGTGAGCTTTATTTAAAATGTAACTACTTTTTTTTGTATACAACTTTTAGAACCGTAGTTAATATATCTGACTTTTCACACAGGGAGATCATTTTTTTTAATGAAAAAATGATACATGATGATTGAGTGATTTTAGCATTCAATCCACCTCAGTACAGAAACAAGATCTTTTCTGAATGCTTTTGTAACTTTATTGCTCTCTTTTTTTAGTCATATTTATAGCCATGACTTTTAATTTTTGTTTTTCAGTCCAGAGATGTATTGCTTTTTTCTGCATCCTTCTTTAGAACAGGAATGAACATCTGACAATCACTATATGGTGCTCCACAGTCTCCGATTTTCAGCTTCTAAATTTCCCCTGGAGTGGCTGGGTTCAAAACGTTTTGCCAGTTTTTCAGGAAAGGAATTAAGAGGCAAAATGCTTCCCATTTCATCTTTGAAAAATGTCCAGTGCTTCCCAAAGGATTTCTTTCCCAGCTGAAGGCATTAAACCTTCTTAAACTGCCCAACCTTCTCAAACAGGATTGTCCATACAGAAATAGTGTCAATGCCATTGGAGATACCCACTGGAGCACTACAGGCCGGGTCCTTTTCATTCATTTGTTTGCCTGTTTGTTATTTTCACATCTTTGGTGTAAAAGATTTCTGCCTTCTGTGAGATAGATGGGAGTCATACCTTGCATTGCCAGAAATGATCCACTTCATTCCAGTTCAGATTTGTACCAGTCCGTGGTCCTGATTACTATGCCTGACTGATTAATTAGCTAATTAATTGTGATTAGCATATAATAATTATGGTTAATCGAGTTTGGCGGTTAAACGTTTAGTCCTAATCAGTGGTGTTCAAAGACAGAATTCTTGAACCATAATTATTACATTATTTTTAAATGAAGGAGCATGGCTGTTTGAATGCTCTTTGGAAGACTCTTAGGCGGTCTACTGCGTTTAAATTGTCTTTTAAACTAAATAACATTTTATCAAGAGGGTTATACACAGGCTTTCATAATGTTTTTACAAAATATCACTCTGGGAATAATAATAATAGTAATAGTAGTAGTAGTAGTAGTAATAATAATAATAATAATCTAAAGTTAATAAAAACAAACAGTGCTGTTTCCTCAGGATAGAACACCTTGGACTCAATGTTGTCCTTCAGCTTCTCGTTGGAGTTCCCCTTGAAATGGTTCATGGTGCGACCAGGATCGGATTTGTCTATTTTGCTGGAGTGGTAGCAGGTAAGTGCTAACCAATATCGCCACCCTTACTCTGGAGCCCGCAAGAAAGTTTAAAAGCTGCCCATCGTTTGTCAACATATCTTTCGGAAAGGCATTTGTCCTCCCTCCTAGTCAACACCAGCATCTCTCAAGCAAGGCTATATTTCTGGAATTCTCAAACGTTTGCCCTCGTGAGATTGTCCTTATGTAATTTAAAAAACAATATTTCATTCATTCACCAGGTCTAGAAATTATCCAGTCTTTTCCTCCTGGCTCTACGAAAGCTGTGCTTGGAGCAGTGGTGGGATTCAGCCGGTTCGCACCACTTTGGCGGAACCGGTAGCTAATTTTTTGTTGCCCAGCCCCAGAATGGACTTCCAGAAGCGGCATCCACACAGAGAAAAGGATGTTCACATATTTGAATCCCAACACTGGCTTGGATTATAGCAGGGGTGTCAAACTCAATTTCACTGAGGGCCGCATCAGCATTGCGGTTGCCCACGGGGGGCCAGGTGGATGCGGCCTACTGGGTGGGCGTGGATGGAGTGGGTGTGGCCTACTGGGTGGGCGTGGCCAGCTCTACATCATTCGCATCAAGGATGCCTGTGGGGGCCTGGGCAGGAGTGGGACAGATCTGAGGGTCTCTGGCAGAAGGGGGTGGGACCAGGGCAGAACCCATCAAACTGGATATGTGAAGTAGGCGAGGGCCATTTGCTGGCCACTTCCAGGCAATGGTGCATTTCTTCATTCCTCATAAAGAGTGACACCTCCTCAGCATGCGCCCAGGGGGTGGGGCCGACGTGGCAGGGGCTGGTTCCTCGCTGTTACCAGATGGTCTTGTGGAGCCAAGACTGAATACATTTCAGCATAGATGGCCACCACAAAATTGTACATTGGCTCCCAGCCGGCCTGGACCAGGGCCAAGGCAGCGGGGGCCGTTCCCTCTCTGTTTCCAGGATGGCTTCGCGGGCCACATGAAACCACTTTGCGGGCCACATCTGGCCCCCGGGCCTTGTGTTTGACATGTCTGGACTATAGTGTTTCGACCCCTATAGTCTTCTTCTAGGAGCTTACCTGCTAGAACCAGAATGTCCTTTCCAGTCTTAATGTTACTTGACCAGAAAAGTGCTTTTCACTATTCTTTAAATCAGACACAGGAAATATCTAATTGGTGGGGCCTTCTGGGTGGCCTGCTGAAGCCCAGGGGGAAGTCTGCCACACAGGTATGCTTTTCAAGGTTCCTTTCCCAGACAGACCTACGGTTGCCCAGATCGCTCCAGACTCTCATCCAGCCCAGTGGGATTTGTGAGGTGTCCCTGAAAGAAAACCTCACCCCAGCTAGATAGATGTTCCTTACCTCGCTTAGGGTTCATTGCCAAAGGCATCCATGATTGGGGAATTATGCATAGGAGGTCTAGGAAAGCAAATTTATCACAGCTTTTCAGCAGAAGTTCAAGTAAAGCACAACGGGACCCAACGTTTCCGCTGCCGAGCGAGGCATTTGTTAAGTGAGTTTTGCCCCGTTTTACGACCTTCCTTGCCACAGTGGTTAAGTGAATCGCTGCAGTTGTTAAGCTAGTAACACGGTTGATAAGTGAATTTGGCTTCCCCGTTTCCTTTGCTTGTCAGAAGGTCGTGACAGGTGGTCACATGACCCCCAGGGACGCCACAACTGTCATAAATACAAGCCAGTTGCCAAGAGTCCAAATTTTGATCATCTGACCACGGGCATGCTGAAATGGTCGTAAGTGTGAAAAACGGTCCTAAGTCGCTTTTTTTTAGTGCCGTCGTAACTTTGAATAGTCACTCAATGAACGGTTGTAAGTCGAGGACGACCTGTGCTCCCTTGTCTTTCTCCAAGCTTTTTGTTATGTTCCAAACATGGTATTATGGCTCTGTTGTTTCTCTGAGAGGCTGATAGAATTGTCCACCTCCTGCAGAAGAATCTCTTGTTCTTTACCTTGCACTGCTAGGGCTGCCAACACAACACTCACTTCAGGAGGGGTAGGCCTTGACTTACGGCCATAATCGAGCCCACAGTTACCGTGGCAGTCGTTAAGCAGTTCATCATGTAACCCCTCCCAGTTTTACATCCTTTTTTTGTGTGGTTTAGTGAACCCATTTCTCACCATGGGACATTTTTTGCTGGAAACCAGAAGCAAATGCTGGCTTCAGGCAAGACATCATCAATCCAATGAGCATCGGATGCTGCAAACAGCCATAAATGCGGACCGGTTGCTGGGTACCCAAAATGTGGTCATGGGGGGGTGGGGGGAGAGGTAGGGGGAGCAACCTTTGGAACTTCTAATCCTGACCATAAGTACATTTGTTTTGGATCCTTTGTAACTGAGGACTACCTGGGGGGGTGGTGGTTAGCTTTTCAGGTAGAACAGTGGTTCTCAACCTGTGGGTCGGGACCCCATTTGGGGTCAAACGACCATTTCACAGGGGTCGCCAAACAACGCAGTCCGCCATTTTTTTCCCCTTTTCCTTAGCTGTGCTATTCCCTTTTATTCTATTGGCTTTTGAAAGCCAATAGAATAGACTCTCTTGAATAGAGTCTAATTCTATTGGCTTTCAAAAGCCAGTAGGAATTGTCCAGGCTGTCTCTGCCCTGCTGAACCCACCAAAAGTCCCATTCTGCAAACGGTGCTGCACCAGTTGAGTAGTCCTCAACTTACGACCAGTTGAGTAGTCCTCGACTTACGACCGGTTGGGGGTCACGGCATTAAAAAGGTTGAGAACCACTGAGGTAGAACAAAAGGGCAACTTGCCGATAACTCTGGAATCTCTCATTCATTCTCAGCTCAAACCACCTCACAGGGTTTTGTTGTGGGAAAAAGAGGAAGAGCAAGGAGCATTATGTATGTTCTCCACCTTATTTATAAAAATAATAATGGCAGGGGGATGCAAATAAATAAATCCCCTCCCTGCTGGCTTTCAGGAAGTCACTTCCCCCCCCCCCACACTTTCTGGTGTTTTAAAGGGCCTTCAGCAAGCAGGATTGAAGCCCCCTTTAGTACCTCTTCTTTGTTCCCATTTGGGTCTGTTGTGTCTGCCATTTTTGCATTTTTTTTTGTTTTGTATTGTTTTCTTGTTTTAAATGTTTTTAACTTTTTGTATACTGCCCAGCGTCACTGGGAGTCAGGCAGCATATACATTTAATAAATTATTAGATACAACATTAATAATAATAATAATAATAATAATGTTATTGTTATTTTTGTTATTGTTGTTGTTATTATTATTATTATTACTATTATTTCCTAAGAGTCTGTCAGTAACAACCCCTGCTCTTTGCTGTTGTTTTTATTATTCTCTCCTAGTTTAATTTCACATTCGAGATTTGGACGGTATGTTATTTCAGTTCTGTGGCTGGTTTTTTGTTTTGTTTTTGTTTTAATTGTGTAAGATGGCTGAGAATAAGGAAACAAACAAACAAACAAACAGGTCAGTCAGCCTTTCACATCTGAGTTAACCTGCTTGAAAAGCGGCTGGAGTCTAGAAGGGGAAACTGGCAAAGAAGCCAAAAGATTTTTTTTTTAGGCAGAAGAGAAGCCTTTGTGGGAGATACAAACGTTTTTGAAGTAACATGGTGCCTTGCTAGGACAGCCAATGGCCCTGGTCGGGTAGTTTTAGCTGTCTGTGTGGAACCGAGTCAATTTAGGGAAATCATGGAGGTGAGAGGAGGGTCACAGAGCTTGTGGAAGATTGGGTGAGGGATTGATCAGCCTGAATGGGTGCTACGAGCAGTGACTCCATTTGGATGGCTGATCCTAAGAAGGTAGGAAGGATGGGCAGTGCTGGAGAAGGATGGCGGAGAAGAGGATTGGGTAGCTAAGAAAGGCCACTGACATGATGGGAGCCAGCAGCTGATAATAATAATAGTAGTAAAGTTGGAAGGGACCTTGGAGGTCATCTAGTCCAACCCCCTGCTCAGGCAGGAAACCCTACACCATTTCGGACAAGTGGCTGTCCAGTCTCTTCTTAAAAACTTCCAGTGTTGGCGCATTCACCGCTTCTGGAGACAGGTTGTTCCACTGGTTAATTGTTCTAACTGTCAGGAAGTTTCTCCTTAGTTCTAGGTTGCTTCTCTCCTTGGTTAGTTTCCACCCGTTGCTTCTTGTCCTGCCTTCAGGCACTTTGGAAAATAGCTTGATTCCTTCTTCTTTATGGCAGCCCCTGAGATATTGGAATACTGCTATCATGTCCCCCCTCGTCCTTCTCTTCGTTAAACTAGACATACCCAATTCTAGCAACCGTTGGGTGATTCGTGATTGTAAAGTTGCTGGAGCAATAGGCTGGGGAGAGATGTGGAAATTGTCAGCTGGGTGCCCAGCTCAAGTCTACGGAGAAGGGAGCTTCCTGGACCTCTGGCTCCTGCTGGGTTCACAGGTAAAAGTCATGGCTGGAGGGCGTTTACCAGGTTCACTCGAGACATCATCTGTGGCCCTACTTAGCACAGGAAGCCCTGGCAGTGGTGACTCAGGCCACTACTACTAACCCTGATTACTTGCAGGAACTTTACACTGAGCTGCCTTTGAAGGATACTCAGACGTTGCAATTGACAGAAAAGGCAGCAGAACTCCTGTGGTGGGTTGGTGACAGCACCAGCCTGGAAACAGTTACATTGATTTCCAGTAGGTTTTTGACTATAATTTGAAGAGCTGGTTTTAACTCCCGTGTGATTTTAAAAAAGTTATCTAGAGGCCAATTCTCTTTAGCTAAGCAATATCCAGCTTAATTATAATGGAGCCATTACAGGTAGTCCTCAACTTACAACAGTTCATTTAGTGACCATCAAGGTTACAATGGCATTGGAAAAAAGTGACTTACGACCGTTTTTCACACTTACAGCCATTGCAGCATCCTCGTGATCACGTGATAAAAATTCAGATGCCTGGCAACTGACTCATGATTATGACGGTTGCAGTGGCCCAGGGTCATGTGACCTTCTCACAAGCAAAGTCAATGGGGAAACCACATTCACTTAAGAACTGAGTTACTAGCTTAACAGTGATATACTTAACAACTAGGGCAAGAAAAGTCATAAAATGGGGCAAAACTCACTTAACAAATGTTTCACTTAGCAACAGAAATTTTGGGCTCAATTATGGTCATAAGTTGAGGACTACCTGTGCTATTGTCTCCAGAGAGTGTTCTTTGGACCAGAAACATAGGATGGAAGTGGAGAGTCAGAAGAAATAAATTTTCCTGTACCTTCCACTATCCTTTATCTTTATCTTGCATGAAGCTTTTTTTTTTCTGGGTATGAATTTGTTGTTATGCCAGCTTTAGCTTTGTACATCATCTCTCCATTATTTTATTTCCAAACATTTATTAGACAGACAGCTCTGTAAACCATGTTCCATCAAGGGGCCCTGTTACCGCACGTTACATCACGATCAGTGTACTTTTCATTTGATTTCTAAAGCTGTTAACAAGCACATGGCTATCCTGGCAATAACTACAGCAAAGACAGTCTTGTTGCAATTAACTTCAGCGAGCAATAATTCTCCCCTGAAGTGATTTTTGCAGTGTAATTTACCAGTTGGTTGCCCATAAACTGTTGGCTGGTTACAACCTGGAAATTTTTATTCACTTAATCAAAACAACCAAGCAGAAAAAGAGAACTGGAGTCTCACGGTTTATTATCGTGGCGTTTTCTTTGGCTTCTGAGCTGGGCACCACTCGTTTCCCACACAATACTACACATGATTGAAATGTCTTTTGTGCAAGCAAGTTAAAAAAAAATATAGTAAACACACCAACAGTCACATTAGCTCATAATTTGTTTTAATGCTGCTTTATTGAATAGGCTACAATAGCCGGATGCACCCAGAATGCTAAGCCAATTATGTTTTATAAACCCCAATAGCTTGATTCCTGTCTAGAATGTTGCAAAAGGGATGTGCTGTATGCAGGTCCCAAATTACTGCTGTGTGCCTAATAGAGTCGTCTCTTATCATAGTTAGTAAAAATCAATGGTGCAGTTTCCCACCAGTCTGAGGCAAGACACATCAATACACTAATGAACATTTAAGAAAAGAACAGAACCTAGAACTTGCCCCCTTCCAATTTAGCTTCCATGATATTATGTGTTATCACAGCTCCACCTAGCTTGCGTTATCGCCCATCCCACTGTGACCCTCATTCTCCTGAAATATTTTAAGTTTAGCTGTGAAATGTTTATGACTGGTGAGGGCCAAGCACCAACTCATGACCTGTTTGTGGCCTCTTACTGGGGCCTCTGAACAGCTGCTGGGAGAGAGAATATATTGGACCAAGTAGGGCATCGTTTTGATTCATCAGGTTTGAAGAATCGTCCAGCGGTGAACATGTGAACTCAAAGGTTTTATTTCAGCTGCTTGACACCATTCCTCTCTTTTGCAAAAGGAGCCGATGCAAGTGGTTTACAAGATATAGAAACCATAAAAAAGGAAACGATATTCAAAGCAATTGTACAAGGTCAGGCTCAAAGCAACAATACAGGTAGTCCTCAACTTACAACAGTTCATTTAGTGACCGAAAAAACGGAGCTGAAAAAAGTGACTTATGACCGTTTTTCACGCTTAGGACCTCTGCAGCATCACCATGGTCACATGTTCAAAATTCAGACGCTTGGGTAACTGACTCATATTTATGACGGTTACAGCTTCCCGGGGTCATGTGACCATCTTTAGCGACCTTCTGACCAGCAAAGTCAATGGGAAAGCCAGCTTCACTTAACAACCGTGTTACTAATTTAACAACTGCAGTGATTCACTTCATAACTATGGCAATAAATTCATAAAATGGGGCAAAATTCACCTAACCGTCTCACTTAGCAACAGAAATGTTGGGCTCCATTGTGGTCATAAGGCGAGGACCACCTGTACTGTAGAGACCAGAAAGGCAATCAAGGAATAAGAGTTAAGCCATGGCCAAGTCAAAGGCCTATTGGGAAAAGAAAATGCCTTTGCTTCTAGTGGAATGCACTCTTCCAAAACAGGATGGTAACCTAAATTCTTGAAGCACTATGAAAGAATCTGTAATTATATTTAATACATCTGGCAAGCAGACTTTCATTTAAACTCAACAACAACTCCCCTCAGGATGTAAGACTGAAACACCCTAATTTTGGACCCATTAAATGCTTTATGAATTTTTAATGTTTTACTTTAAAAAGTACATTTTACAGACGCCTAGGACATATCCCACAAAATCCTATAATGAATTCTGCTAGCTGAAAAGGAAGCTGACCTAATCTTTTTCAAAAGCGATCACTAAAACAATTGTTGCTTCCACGGTGAAAAATATGTATGATCCTCCCTACTTACTGAGGACACGTTGATTATCTTTCTCTGTAAAAAACTGAATAACAGACAACTTATCGGACAGTAAAATGATATTAGCCCTTTTGTCACAGCAGATGGCAGTAGTTACCCAATCTTGGCTGATCTCAAAAAAGTTAAAAGAGGATTGGATCTCATCGGATATAACAGGGATCCGTTCTGGGGAGAGAGGTTTCCGTGGTTTCGTGTACTGTCTGCATCCTGCGGGTGTTGCTATGCTTGTTTGCGCGGACCGATTTCTGGCATGCCGTGGCCCAGTACTGGTCCATGGACTGGGGTTTGGGGATCCTTGGGATATAAGACCAAGAAGAAGTCCTAAGGTTTTTGACCTGATTTGGGTTATTGAAAAAAAAAAATCTTGGTAGAAGATAATTGCAAGCTGTTTCTGTTTCACTGTGAAATGTCCATAATGATTGGGGGTTGGACTCTCGGAATCCTTAAATGCCTTTTTCTACAAAGTACAGATAATCCTCAACTTACAACAGTTCATTTAATGACTGTTCAAAGTTACAACAACACTAAAAAAATAACTTACAATACTTTTTCACACTTACGACCACTGCAGCATCCCCATGGTCACATTTTCAAAATTCAAACGCTTGGCAACTGTCTCATATTTAGGACAGCTGCAGTGTCCTGGGGTCATTTGATCCCCTTTTGCTACCTTCTGACAAGCCAAATCAATGGGGAAGCCAGATTCACTTAACAACCAGGTTACTAATTAACTATAGTGATTCACTTAACAGCTGTGGCAAGTAAGATCGTAAAATGGAGCAAAACTAACTTAACTAACTTGTCTCGCTTAGCAACAGAAATTTTGTTCAATTTGACTCAATTGTGACCGTAAGTTGAAAACTACCTGTATTCACAGAAAAAGGTAGGAAGTGTTTTATTGGGCAGTCATTTGTACTTACTTTTTTTTTTTTTTTTTTTGTATTTCTCCAAGGTTCCTTGGCAGTGTCCATCGCTGATATGACTGCACCGGTTGTGGGTTCATCTGGAGGGGTGTATGCTCTTATTTCTGCTCATTTGGCCAATATAGTGATGGTAAGCCCTGGATTAAGTAGAACACAGATTGCCTTTGAGACCCGAATGTGCTGTTTATTGTGTATGGATTCATTTATGTGACAGCTGAACTGTTGTTTTCAGTCCAGCCTGAACAAATAACAGCAACATTTGCTTGTTGTGATTATTGGGTTTTTTTTTTTTTTAGGCTTATGTTGGTTATCAGCAAGTAAACAAGTATCTCACATATTTTCATTTAAAATAACAAGCACATCTGATTTTATGTGTTTTATGAGCATGGGGGGGGGGCGTTAGTTCTCATACAGTCAATAAAAAAATAAGACAGTAACAACTCTGACCGTTGCCAGAGCAAGGGACAGATGGAAACCATTTCCTCTCTGCAAAAGAAGGAACTGGGTATTGAATATTGTTTTTATGTATAAGACTTTCAGATGCACAACATACAGCCCGTTCACAGTGAACCAAGAGAAGTCAACCAATTTGGGTCTATTGGTACAGGTGAAAAGCTATGAATTATGGTTTTTTGTGTTTAAAACCTTCGGAGAGGGCCAGGGCCATGGCTGGCTAAGGAATTCTGGGAGTTGAAGTCCATGTGTCTTAAAAGAGCCAAGGTTGCCTACCCCTGGGCTAGCCTATGGTACAATACAGCCAAAGGAAGACTACTATTAGATTTCCAGGCACCAATAAATGTGCTTTGTATGTTGTATTTCATTGCAAACAACATTGTCATTGTATCCAGCTCTGCCAATTAAAAATATAAATAATTCTAGCTTAATGTCAGTGAGGGAGATTCTTGGATGATAAAAAAAAGATGCACTTGGCACTGTAAGCACATTCATAACAGTATTTGTTACATTTTGCTTTGCTTTTCCTCCTGAGAGGCTCAGTCCATCAAATCTTTTTGGAACTCCTTGGATAACTGCAAATAATAAAAACGTCTATACCTCTAGAATGAAATATTCCTGGAAACAAATGAAAGTGAGAAGAAAAATAAAGCAGTTCACCCTGTGGGAAATAGCAGACAAACAAACCAACTAAAAATGCAGGATTTAGCAGTAGCTTCCGCCGCTTTCCAAGCGCATTACTATCTCTGTGGAGAAATGAACCAAAGAAAGCTTCTAAATATGACCTTTATCCCCAAAACTGGATTGATTTGTAGCATCTTTACTAGTGTTTATCTAAAATGTTTGCACTGCATCTCCCGGATTTCTGCCTGCCATAAAAAGGCACAAGGCCGAGTGAGGGTCATAGATCATAATAGACAAAGGGCAATTATATACAACTCAGAAATGCTTACAAATGGTTTAGTTCCCGTATTGAAATATTAGTTTGAAGGCCTGTTTGTACCTCTCTGGTTGCCTTTGTGAATTGTCAGATTAATTTCCAGGGAACAACCGTACTGCATCAGTAACCACAGTTGCTGACAGTATAGGGTAGTCCTCGACTTACAGCCGCAATTGAGCCCAAAATTTCTGTTGTTAAGCGAGACATTTGTGAAGTGAATTTTGCCCCATTACACAACCTTCCTTGCCACAGTTGCTAAATGAATGACTGCGGTTGTTAAGTGAGTGACACAGTTGTTAAGTGAATCTGGCTTCCCCCCCCCATTGACTTGGCTTGTCAGAAGGTTGCAAAAGGGGATCACGTGACCCTGGACGCTGCAACTGTCGTAAATACGAGTCAGTTGTCAAGCATCTGAATTTTGATCACATGACCACGGGGATGCTGCAATGGTCGTAAGTGTGAAAAACTATCATAATGTTCTGTCCCAGCCTACATGAGTCTTTGTTAAGCTCACAAGAAGAAACTCCTCTTCCAACAGGCAGGCTGGAACTGCAGGAAAAAACCAATCCTCTTTTATTATTCACAGACTTGAGTCAATGTTCAAGGCAAACAAACACAGTTCACAGAAACTTGATCCTCAACACGAACGGTTGCCTTTGGCAACCAGCACCTCCCACACCTTCCCTTTTATTATGCAGTCAAGGCGTGGCTTCCTAATGCCTTCTCCTTTGCCTTTGGAGCCGCCCCATTGCATTCCTCTGTCCGACTCTCTTTTTTACATGCATCTGGGATATCTCCCAGCTGTGATTCATCCGTGTCCAACTCAGATTCGCAACACAGTTGTGGCTCAGCCTGAGCGTGAGTAGAGGGGCCAGGCTCCTCATCAGACTGTAAGTCTTGGAGCTCCTCAGAGCCTTCCTCTGACTCTGATGTCACTCCAGGCCCCTCCTCCTCCTCCTCTGATTCCTCAGATTCAGCTACCGGGTCCACTGGCTGGCGAGGAATCACAGCACATAAGTCATTTTTTTAGTGTTGTTGTAAGTGTGAAAAAACAGTCATAAGACACTTTTTTAGTGCTGCTATAACTTCAAATGATCACTAAGTGAACTGTTGTACAGTAAGTTGAGGGCGACCTGTAGTTTTCTCCATTCCGTACAATATTATGCATGATGCCAGCTCAAAACCTGTTTGCATATTTGTGGAGGAATTTGCACGTGCAGCAAACTGCCGTGCATTGCCCCCCACAAAACTCATAACCTTTTGATACCCTTTGTCCCAAGGAAGCAGCCAAAAGATCACCCCCTTTTTGACTTAATATCTTACCTACCTAAATAATAAGTTCCCCCTTATCTCTTCCTGTCTTTATCTCTTCTTGTCTTTATCAGTTCTTTCTCCTTTCCTAATTTACCTATATTTGTTTTACCTGCTCTCAACAGGTAATGTGTTACTAGAAAATAATTGCTTATATGAAGGAATTTTTCAATTACTTTATGTCAACAACTAAAGGTTAAACTTCTAAATGTAAAATGTCAGCAGTTAATGGTAAAGCCTATGTATGTAAAAAGTATATAAAAAAGAATAAACTCAGAGTTGGAGAAGCTGTGTGAAGCTGTGTCATGCAGCTTCAAAACCTCTGCTCAAGACATGCCTGAGTCTTTTTCTTAGCATCGTTACACATATTAAAGGTGCAGCTCCTGGGTTTTGTTTATGGCATCATAAGCACCAAGCAGAGAAGGGACCTGCTTGCTGATGCTGCTGAACTCTGGATCCCATGCGTGTTATTGTTATGATTATTTTATTTTACGATACGTAGACATTGGTCAAAATGTTCGCAATTTGTCATAATGTGGTAAAACATAGGTTCTTATTACAGGTAGTCCTTGATTTACAGCATTCATTTAGCGACCGTTTGAAGTTACAACGGCACTGAAAAAAGTGCCTTATGACCGTTTTTCACATTAATGACTATTGCGGCATTCCCGTGGTCAGAGGATCAAAATTCAGACACTTGGCAACAGACTCACATATATGACGGTCGCAGTGTCTTGGGGTCATGTGATCAGCTTCTGCGCGAACTTCTGACAACCCAAGTCAGTGGGGAAGCCAGACTCACTTACTAACTTAACAACTTCAGTGATTCACTTAACAACTGTGACAAGAAAGGTCGTCAAATGGGGCAAAATTCACTTAACAAAGGTTTCACAGAAATTTTGGGCTAAATTGTGGTTGTAAGTTGAAGACTACCTGTATAAGATTCTTTCTAAGATGCCATCCATCTTGCAGTTCAAGGCAATTCCGGGCAGTTTACAGTGTAATAAAACATATTGATATGAAAACAATTATAAATATTAAGAACAGATTAAAATTACAGAAGATTAAAAGCGATCTAATAAAAACCCAGCCTTGGAGTGGAGCAGGGGTGATGCCTTCATTGTTATTACACCAAGTCTGGAATTTCTCCTTCAGAGCCCCGTGCCATCTAGCCTAGGCAGGTTTTAAGGCTTTTCCTGAAAGTCAGAAGAGATGGGGCAGATCTCACTTCCAGTGGCAAGATGTTCCAAAGGATGGGGACCGAGGCAAAAAAACAATCTCTTCTCTTAGACCCCACCAGCTAAAATTCCTTAGCTGATGGGATTTGCAGGAGGCCTCTTCTATCAGCATGAGTGGGGCAGGACAATAGGATCAGGAGAAGACAGACCCTCCGATATCCTGGATCTATGCCATAGAGCAGGGATCCCCAACCGCTGGTCTGTGGACTGGCACCGGACCACAGCATGTCAGAAATGGGTCTGCACAAACAAGCAAAGCCCCATCCACGGGATACAGGCAGTACATGAAACCACGCCCCCTCCGGTCCGCGGAAAAACCTCTCTCCACAAAACCGGTCCCTGGTGCCCAAACGATTGGGGACCTATGCCATAGAGGGCTTTAAACGTAATAAGCAACACCCTGAACTGGACCCAGAAGCAGATTGGCAACCAGGGCAGCTTACATAACAGTGTGGCGTTACATGTGCCAACTTAGGGGCTTCTTAAACTTTCTGCACTGCCGCATTTTGGACAATTGTAGCTTCCGAATACTATTCAAAGGTAGTCCCCTGTGAAGCGTATTGTAATAATCCAAACAAGAGATGACTGACTGAGTCCAGGAGCCTCAGGATCCAGAAAATGATGCAGTTGGCACATAACATGAAATTGTGTAAAGTCTGTCCTAGCCACACCGGCCACCTGCTCTTTGAGTAGGAGTTGCAAGTCTAGGAGAACCCCAGAGTTGTTCACCAGGTCTATATGAGAGAGTGCCATCCCATCCAGAACTAAAGATGATAAGCCTCCTGATCCCGAGGCTCCATGTAGCCACAGCGACTTAGTCTTACCAGGGTTCAGCCTGTTGTTCCCCATCCAGCCCCCAGGCACTGTAAAATGGCAGCCACAACATCACTTGGATCACCAGGGATGGAGATGTAAAGCTGTCGTCAGCATATTGATGATATCTCATCCTGTGGTGTCAGTCACCCAGCCGTTTTTTATACAGTAGATATTAAAAAGAATGGAGAAAGTACTAAGCACTGCAGTATCCCACAAAGGAACAGCCATGGACAGGACCTCTCACCCCCTAACAACACCAAATGGACCTGGCCATGGAGAAAGGAACTGAACCAGCACAATCCTCTACTGCACAGTCCCAAATCCCATTTACCATTTTTTGAATGATCAACTGAACAGGTGTTCCAGAAACCC